TATGCAATCTGCTGATACATACGCAGCAGACCGGTAATTCCTCTTCAACCTTGTGGCTATGTTGCTTTTCACTTTGCAGAAAAGGCTTGCCAAAACAGCTTTGAAAATGAAGTAAAAGCTTTTCTTGTATGAAGCTTTAAAAAAAAAAAAAGTTTACTAAATCTTATAGGATTGGATAGGGGTTGCAATTCTCCTTTTAAGTAAATGCAAACAATGTGTTTTCCAAGTTTCTTTTTTATTTTTTTAACAGAGCTTTTTGAACTTTTGTTATTCTTAGAGAACAAGTTTAAACTTAAAAAGTCACCAAAGTGGATAAAGGAGAGAAGGTATTATCATATTTTCTTATTAAAAATCTCTGGAGAGGTGTTTCTGCCTTCCCAAACCAAACATTTCCATATGAGTGATTAATATCTGAATTAATATAAATACGTATATGCAAATGGCTTCTTACCTACTTATCGTATTAAATGAGTTAGAAATGTCTCGGTGTTCTCATAACACGAGCACTGGGTGAAGGCTTACATTCACGTAAAATGTAAGTGAACGTACATTTTTGAAGGAAACAATACCGTACAACTTTAGGCAACAGATTTTTCACTCCTAAGTAAATAATATCCTCTATAAACCACTTCCCAGTAATAAAAGCTTTTCTCAACAAAGCTATCGGGGAGAGTTCAAAGTGTTTACGAATCATGTTGAATAAAGGTACTCTCTGAATCGGAGTGATGCAACTGTACAATGGAGTTTTCTTCTTGCAAACAGGACGAAGAAGGAGGGCCCACTTTCATGTCTCAGTTTACACCTCTGATCCTTAAGCACGCTCTTCTTTGATCATGAATATCCGCTATCATCATGTTATTTTAAAAGCCAGGGCTTTTTTCCCCTTAATGGCAAGTATCTCATCAACTTTGTTTTCCTTGGATCAAAATAGGCAACAGAAAGGTGGTGGGGAAGGCGTTCTTTAGCGGCGTGCCTCTGGTGCGGCCTTGTCATTTGCAATTCAAGGTGGCTAAAATCACCCCGATACGCCCGTTTAAAATGCAGCACAGAATGTCAAGACAAAATATATGTTAGGGATGGATTTCGGTCGCAGACAGAAACACACTCAGAAGTAATACAGGTATTTTTTAAGGAAAATAAGATGCCGCCTTTCCCCACCGTGCGGATGCCTGTCACCGAGTGACGGGAAGGTTCAGCCCCGGCGCCGCCACCCGCCCCCGCCCCGCC